CGACTAGGGCGAGGCGACTCTTTTCCTCCGATCTCCACCGGCCGATGCGTTGGCCCCCTCTCCCTTCGGCCGCTGCTCCGGCGGCAGGAGGGAGGGGGGACCCCGTTCCTTCGTTCTGTAGTTAGGTTTTGGATTCATAGGTCGTGGTGCGTCGTTGGGGTGGTGGAAGCGACGTCCGGACGAATAAATCTGCCTCAACCCCACTCCCATACCGGCGGTGTCTTTCATGGCGGCGTCTCGGAGTTGATGGCATCGTGTCTCTGTCGATCCCTCAGATCGACAGCGTTAGGGTTCATGGATGGTGTTGGCGAGGCGGCGGCGGCGACTCCATCAGGTGTGTCTCTCCTTCTGCTCTGTCCCCGTTGCTGTGGCGTTGTCTCCGACATCATGGTGGAGCAGGGAGGTTTTGTCGTTCAGGAGTACGCGCAGGCGGTTGTCTACGCAAGTGACAGTTGGAAGATGGAGTATCTTGTGTTGGGTCTGTGGTCGAAGGCGGGCAGTTCTGATTTCCTTCTCCGACGTCGTCGTCATGCGAGGGTGTCAGTTCTGAAGTTCGATGGCGTGTCCGGGGACATGTTGCCCCGGCCTGATTCTTTCAACGGCTATGGTTTTGCTTTTGGCAAACTACTTTGGAGGTCCGTAAAGCCGCTGATCAGCGATGGAGCCACGTTGAGTTTGGGCGAAGAGGTGATCTGTCTTCTTACCCTTTGGTCACCGCTTCGGTGGTGTCGAAGAAAAGGGACAGGCGCTGGTATTTTGCATAGGATTTTCCTATCTTTTCAGTCATGTATGGTCGGTGCTTACGTGCCTTGTAACTTGATCTTTATTCTATATAAATGAGACACGTATTACCATGCAAAAAAAACTCAACCTTTCTTTCTTGAGGACATAATCATTTATTAGGCTAAATCTTAAACTTAAGTGGTACAACGATGCATTCTAGATCCAACCGAGGGACCTAAAGATATGTCCTACAATGAAGGGAGGGGGAAATCCCCTGTTCACTGACTGACTCAAAGCATGCTTCATGCAAAATAAAACAAAACACCATTTATAACTATCCGATTACTGAGCAGCGTTTGGCAACCCCTAGTAAGCCACCACACATCTTAATTACAAACATTAGTCTTTGGTCTAAGGACATCACATACACATTGTAAGAGATAAATATACTGGAAAAAGGCTTTCGCCCCGCTTTACATATAAAGCACACATCAACCACAGCTCAAGTACAAACACATCCCACGACAACACACGCACACACCCAGCGGGATACATAGGCGCTGAGCGCAGCAACACCACCCCTAACACTACAAGAGCAATTGGGGACCTTCACCGTGAACACGCCACCGCGAAGAGATGAAGCCGCATATGACGAACCGTGAGCTCGAAGGCGGCGCCTCCAAGAAGGTTACAACGCTAGCGTGCCGCCGCCGCCTGACTCGGGGGTCAGAGTTTCCCCTGGAGCGACACGATGACCAGAGACAACCGCAACGACGCCTTTAAGAAGGTAACGCGCTACGCTGCCACCGGTCCGTCCGAGGATAGAACAGGTTTTCACCCCAGCAAACACTCACCGCCACCGAACGCCACACCCCTGCCACCATGCCGTCCACACGGTCATGGTCACCGGGCTCTGCCCATGAGCACCGTGCTACCACCACCAGGGCCGCCGCCCCGACATCCAAGACCTTGACACCACCGCACCCGAGACCCGTCGCTACCCCAACCAAAGAGACGAGTGGAAAGGTCGCTCCTTTACACACCCCTAGACGGCCCCCGGTGCCGAGACCCAAAGGGCCGACCCAAAAAAGGCCTCCATCACCCGTCCTGCTGCACTGGGTGCAAGACAAGCTCGGTCCTGCTGCCGGACGCGAGACGAGATCGGTCCTGCTGCCGGGCGCGAGACGAGCTCGGTCCTGCCGCCGGACGCGAGACGAGCTCGGTCGTGCTGCCGGGCGCGAGACGAGCTCGGTCTCGCAGCCGCGGGCGCGAGACGAGCAATGGACCGCAACTGGGAGCGGTCCAGCCATATGACGAGGGTAGAACCCGGACGACGAGGGGAAGAATCGAAGGTCGTAAAAGGCCGCTCACCGACGACCAACGCCGGAGGAGACCAGCCGCCGACGTGAAACGATCCAGACCACCACCATGAGCTACCACCACGCCGCGGCAGCCCACATCCATGCCGAGACCCCGAGGAGCAACCCCGAGCCACTTTGCAGCAGCTGCGACACGCCGCCAAAGACGCAGCCCATCCCTCGGCCATGGACGCCCGGTGCCCCGCCACCCCGCAAGGAGCAACCAGACCGCCGGCCGCCCTGCCACCACCTTAGCCAGGTCGTCGCCGCCACCCACACGACTGCCGTCGCCACCATTCGGATCTGGACAGGGGCACCCAGATCCGCCGCCAGCAAGGCCCCCTCTCCCGG